GATTTATACTACATGCATCTCCGCTCCGCCGCGGTGCGCAGTTCGCAGCTGTTCATTTGTGACCCAATTTATACAGCCTCCACCCCGCTCCAGTCCGACACAGAGGAGGAAGTGTGTGGAGGAAGGGAGATCGCGCGATAAATCCATAGATAAATGGAAAAGTCAAAGCAAAAAAGCTAATTCTGTGAAAGATGAACTAAAAAACACAGCTGAAAACATTGACATAAAAGCTTTTGATCTTTATGGTTGAAACTGTATCGCTGTCGTCTTTTTGAAAATTCTGATTTCAAAATAAAATCCACGTGTATCGTGTGTGTACACGTGCTACATACTACGTTTCTATCTGCTTCCCAAACAGAACGATACATTCTGATAGCATTTGTGTAGAAATATATCCATTTATTTATTAATATAGCTGCAATTTCGACATTATTCCGACAAATTATTCCACCTAATAGGGTCTTATTTTGTAAATACGGATGTTGTGCTCGTTCCTTTTCCTGTTGGTGCGACGTAATCTTTAAAAATTGATCCGGCGCAGCTCCGGCGTCCGGCAAAAATAGGATCGGTTCCTATTTTGACGGATCGCCATCCGCTCACCGCTTCCATGCGCAGCCAGTGTAAACACTCTCATTGATTATAATGAATGCATATTTGCTGCGGAGGTCGGACCGGAGCGGAGCGGAGATGGARCGCAAGTAGTGTAAATTGGGAGTAATTCTCCACTAATAAAAAAAATTATTTTCTAGTAAATAATCCGTTTTTGTGAACTGATGAACTGTTGAAAATGAACAAAAATGTTTGAAGCTCTAAGAAACACTGATGATTTATAACAGTGATATATCGCTGACAGTGAACATCATACAACGATCTTTGGTCATTATATAAGGTTGGGAACTACAAACGCACAGTGAAGCGCATCGATGATGGCCATCGACTCTGCAATGACCTGATGAACTGCATCCAGGAGCGTGCCAAAATTGAGAAGGCTTACGCGCAGCAGCTGACAGAGTGGTCCAAGAGATGGAGGCAGCTGGTAGATAAAGGTAGGAGAGGTTTTATATTTGTGTTGAGGTTTTGTTAAACTGTGAAACCAGCTGTGTTGTCTGGTTTGAAGACAGTTGCACAAAGACAGACAATCAATTTTGTTTTTGTTTGTTTTTTTGGGAGTGAGTAAAAAAAACGCATATCCTTCAAATGCAAAAAGTCAAAGAAAACATCTTTATATTTAAAGGGGACCTAATATGCAAAATTCACTTTTTTCAGTTTTTTTTTACTTACATTTGGGTCTGTACTGCTTCCAAAATAGTCCAAGCACCAAAAAAATGCATTTGGAGGTATGATTACTATAAGTAAATGTATTTTTCTGTGTCTTGAAATGWCCTGCTTTCAAACACTGCTACTTGTGATGTCACAAGTCGCACTCCAGCCCACCCCAACCTGAGTCCAGCTCGTCTCCTGGTAACCCAAGCAGAGACTCCGCCCACTTCTTCACAGGACGGTTCTGCTGTTTTACAACAGTCATGGAGAACAGAGATGTGTGGATTAATTTTATTTTTATTTAAATGTATTTTTATTTTTGATGGCAATGTTCTAGCAATATTAAAGAAAGTTTGTGTAAATAATTTCACCATGAACTACTTTGGAAAAATCGTACTTTCTACTGAAAAGAAACTGAAAGTAAACTTCTGGCGGTGAGCGGAGCTAACATAAAGAAAATATTGGGAGGGGGTTTCCATAGCAGCTTATGCAAAGTAGCATGTTCTGAAGAGAGCTGAAGAACAGGCAGAACTGAAAAGGTGAACTTTCATTATCTGAGATTAATTTTGTGAATTAAATCAAATGAACATGTTTTGTAAAGCCCACAGATGGATCCTAACTTGTTCTAGGACCCCCATATTAGGTCTCCTTAAGAAACTTGGCAAAGTGCACACAATTTTACCCATTTTGTAACATAACTGGCCGATTTTATTTTGAATTTGGCTGAGCCAAAATGAAACAGGAAGTGACAGCAAAGGGGAAGTCTTTAAGAAAACTCTCAGGACTTTGTTTATTGAAACATTATTTGAACTTGGATTCTTCTTCATCTCTGACAGTGACTTAAAATAATCTAAAATAAAATCAAATTCTTCTCTACAGTCTTTGTTGTTGCCCATTTTAGCAGTCCTCTGTTCTCATTCAGACATTCCTCTTTGACATCACTTCCTGTTGCTTTACATGTGAATGTCTCAACAACCGTTCATCTCAGTGGGGTGAAATTTAATTTGCAGTTTGTAATCAGTGTTATCTTTCCAAAAATGCATTCAAATTTATGACAAAAATTTAATGTCACAGACCCTTTAAAGCCCTCACTCCTCCACCAGGTCCTCAGTACGGCTCAGTGGAGCAAGCCTGGATGGCGATGATGGCCGAAACCGAAAAGGTGAGCGAGCTTCACCAGGAGGTGAAGAACAACCTCGTCAGCGAAGACTTTGAGAAGGTGAAGAACTGGCAAAAAGACTCGTACCACAAACAGATGATGGGAGGATTCAAGGAGACCAAAGAGGCAGAGGAAGGCTTTAAGAAGGCCCAGAAACCCTGGGCCAAGAAGCTGAAAGAGGTGAGGGAGACRAGACATCAAATGCTCATTTTAAGAAAATAATATTGAAATAAAAAGAACATTCTGGTGATTTAAAACAAACTAAATTATAGCTTGTGATGCTCACAGATTTGATTGGTCATTTCCGAGAAGTCATGTTGATTTGAGTGTTGAAAGTGTAAAAAAAATTGCCACACATTTTACATTTATTTGTTACAAAGCARAGCCTTGTTTGTTGTGCACACCTCCTGATCAGGTGTTTTAAATGCTCCTGCTCAGGTGGAGGTTGCTAAGAAGTCGTACCACATGGCCTGTAAGGAGGAGAAGCTGGCCGCCACCCGGGAGGCCAACAGCAAAGGAGAGACCTCGACGCCTGCCGAGCAGAAGAAACTTCAGGAAAAGCTGGAGAAATGCAAACAGGACTCCCAGAAGGTGAGAAYAGAAGTGTTTCACTGTATCGTTTTCTTTAGGTTAACACGCATCACGGTGCTAAAATGCAAGTCACGAGTCGTTACTTGTGTGCAGGCGAAGGAGAAGTACGAGAAGGCTCTGGAGGAGCTGAGCAAGTGCACCCCTCAGTACACGGAAAGCATGGAGCWGGTGTTCGACCAGTGTCAGCAGTTTGAGGAGAAGAGGCTGAGCTTCCTCAGAGAGATGCTGATGGACATCAAACGCCACCTGAACCTCACAGAGAACCAAAGGTAGGTGGAGTCTGTGCGACCACTGAAATCAGGCCATCCGCCTGCACACGCTTATTTCCTCCCGTCTGTTCGCAGTTATGCTACAATATACAGAGATCTTGAACGGACCATCACCTCAGCCTCTCCTCAGGAAGACCTGAAGTGGTTCAGCAACGTCCACGGCCCCGGCATGCACATGAACTGGCCAAAATTTGAGGTAAAAGTCTCTTATTTAGTAGTTACCCATTCTTTGCTGCTTATTAATTCATTTATTTACTGTCCAGGAGTACAACCCAGACCTTAGCCATAACATCACCAAGAAGTCAAAGAAGTTAGGGGATGAAGTCATGCTGACTAACATCAAGGCACCGGGCAGCAACGCTCAGTCTGGAGACCGGGGGAGGTACCGTCTCTTCATTTCAATGCTCAAAATAATCTCCTGTGCAGATAATCTGCAGAACTTTGTTGTTTCTCTCTGCTTTATCCCGGGTTTTCCTTCATTTCTAATCATTTTTATTACAACGCCAACAAAGCATGAGCAACTAACATCTGTAAAAATGATAAAACTACTACTTCCATTGCCACATTTTAGTATAACTGCACGATAAAAAAAACACACTAAACAGTCTGAGTGGCAGTTTTAGCTGCAGTAGGAGACGCAGAGAGGCTGACGTGTTTAATGTTGTGTTCAGTGTGAGCAGCTATGAGAAGAACCAGGCGTACACGGCCTCCACAGAGTGGTCGGACGACGAACAGAAGGGCTCCAACTCGGGCAGCGACACGAACGGAGGGCCGAACCCTTTTTATGAAGGCGAAGGSGAAGGCGTGAGGGTCAAAGCATTGTACGACTACGATGGCCAGGAGCAGGACGAGCTCAGCTTCAGAGCAGGTGAGYGTTCATCTGGGCTTTCACAGATCTGATCTTCTCCAAACATGGAAGACTAGTCAAACAGGCACATACAGTAGTTGCCATGTCCAAATTCAGGGGCTGGGTCCTTCGGAGGACGCATCAGAGGAGTCTAAGAATTTGGACGGCCCCCAGTGCTGTAACGTAAGCCGACAAGTTCAGCCTTCGGAGGATGCGGCCCTGAGTTTGGACATACAAGTCCAAAACACACATTTTTGACCGTCCATCATGTGCTGGGTGGGTTTGAAAACCCTATGAAGTAGTTTCAAATGGTAAAACGACTTGATAGTAATAATGTAAAATAGTTAAAATAGTTTTTTGAGACACAATAAAAAGGTTTGGAAATAGGGCGGTGTGATATAGACTAAAAAGAATATCTCGATAATTTTATTTTTTTATTTGCCGATATATATAATCTGACGATAAATCACAAAAACATTGGAAACATGTTCTCCATAYGATGATGAGTAAGAGGTAAACGTTAATGTTTATGCTCCCATGGGAGCGGTCTCGGCTCGGTTTGTGCTTTATGTAGCAACTCGTGCRTGGAGTGCGTGCATCCTCACCAGCGATGGAGGTGTTTATACTTRGCTCTTRCATTATTGTAGTGTTCTCCGTGTGGCAGAATGCTTTATAACTTGTGAAATGTAGAATAGGAGAGTAAAAGCATGACGATTATAGGGCTGCCACGATTAGTCGACGACTAATCGATTATTAAAATAACCTGTGATTAATCAGCTATAAAAATTATCGTTTGTGGCAGCCCTAATGACGAACTAACTAACTGTTTGAATGTTGCACGTTGCGTGCAGCCTTTGCACGAGGAGCTTGGTCACACGTGCAACGTTGGACATATCCGTTGGATAACGGCGCTCGGAGCACAAATATTTAATATAAAGTTTGGTTTTAGAGACCAAAGTTCCAGGAGTCAAGTGAGGGAGGAGAGGAGAGGTTTACTCACTCAGGACTGCTTCACCTGGCTTTACTGACCCACCCTCTGCTCTCATTGGATAAAAGTGCTCTGGGGTTTGTTTGGTTTGTTGAAAGTAGCATCCCGTTTGGAGCAGACTGGGTGGCTTTAACAAGACCACAACAGAAAACGACCAGTCGTGTCCCCACCCCCGGGTGAACTTTAAGCCCCGTGGTTTTGGCTGCCGTAAGACTGAATCCTGCCCGTTGATTGGTTTCTGTGGCATATATTCCACGAATGGGGTCTTATTATTCTGTCTTCATCATATATTATTATATTATATTATATTATATTATATTATATTATATTATATTATATTATATTATATTATATTATATTATATTACTGGTATATTATATTGCATATAATGGACGATAATATCGTCTACGAAACACATCGCCCACCTCTRTTTGGAAAAACAATGATGGTGGATGAAACTCTGTTGAATTTATCCTCATTTACCTAAATCCTACAAAAACCATTGATRATGATGAGATCTGGAGTCATTACTGTAGCTCTGTTTATTGAAAACTAACAGTACATTCACTAACAACCACATATTTTCTTCACAAATATCACAGATACAAAATGTCAGCTTGTCAAGACTTCCTAAAGTGTGAACTACTGTAGAACAAAGATGCAGTTTGTGTTGATGTGATGTACCAATCTGTGTTGTTCCTTTAATTTCTTCACCTCCTGCTGCATTTTTATTTATTTATTTATTTATTTAGTCTCTATTTATCGATCTAGGTGATTTTCTGATGAAGCTGGAAGATGAGGACGATCAGGGCTGGTGCAAAGGTCGCCTGGACAACGGCCAGCTGGGTCTTTACCCGGCTAATTACGTGGAGCCGATCTAAGCGGTCCAGCCGAGGACGCTAAAACACAAACTGGRCCGTCCGCTCGTACCTGCACATTGCCAGAGATTACAAAGCAAAGCTTCCTCTTCCTGTCGGGCCACAGTGAGCCGTCTCTCGCCTTCATCAAGAAGAAAAACCCGCTCTTCTCCAGAAACTGCAACTGAAGTCGTAGCTGCGTTTGTCATCAGTTGTGATGCTGACATGACATTTTCTTTCAACACAACATTGATGTGGCATCATAAGTTGCAAAAAAATGAACTTCTTTTCATGTGTTTTAATCTCTTTATTTTTTATTGTCTGGATGCGTGTACAGTTTGTTTTCTCATTGAAGTCCATGTTTTCTTCTTTAGCGCTTACAGTACATGTTTAGCCTCGGAAGAGTAATTTGGAAGTCTTGGGAAATTATTTATTTTTTATCTTGTGAGTTCGATTTCACAGCTGCAARAATGCACAGAGCTACAGTCTGCAGGTGGTTTGCTTAGCTCAACAAAACAGGCAGTGAGACACTTTCCAGCCACTCCATTACATTAGTTTGAGCTCTTTTATTTTCGTATTTACCACCTGGGACATCATCTGTTTTATTTATCCAACGTAATGGTAGTTTTTCTATACTTTTGTTAACAAACTGTAAAGAAATGGGAAAAAATCTCAGCAGAGGTTTCCTGGAGAGCATTCAGGCTCAGAAACCACCTCACATCCTGGTTGTGATATTTGCTCAGATGAGCTTTTGTTTTAATCTTCACATCTAACTTTGAACAAACAAACAGTAAAAAAAAAAACACATTTTTCTCTGAACTCCTGTCCCGTTCCACAGTCTGTGACTGAATTAGCATCTTAAAACGAGATGAAAGACAGCCTGTCGTCAGTAAATAAACCACACGGTTGCTCTCAGCGGGGCTCGTCTTTTGAAAATGAAATATTTACTCAACAAAACGCTGCAAGGAGGATTGTTTACATTAACCTTCGCTGTCTTATCCGTCTGCTACAATGTGCCTGTTCTATCTATCATTCCCCATGTGTTTTCCTCCCTCTTTATAAGTGTTGAGAATGCAACCATCATGAGCACAAACTGCCTAAAAACATCAAATCATTGCTGTTTTTTTTTCTTTTTTTTATGAAGATTCACTCCATTTCCCAACCAGTTAATTTACTTGTTTGTGCAGTTGAGTTTCCTCTGAGTGTCACGGCTCTCGCCTTTGTGGTTTTCTACATACTGATGCTCCCACTCACCGTTTACTGAACTGATCCAGCACACGGCCTTGATTTCTTCCCTCCTAATTATTGGCTGAATCTCAGTTTAATTAAAACTCTTACACTATCCAGGTGATGATGAGCTGTTTCTCTGTGTACCCAAATGCAGACTGGATTGTTTGAATATATTTGCTTCAATCAGGAAAAAAAAAGTAAGCTGAGAGTGTTTATAGATGTAAAGGATCGGTTTGCTCGCCGCTGATTCTTCTGTCAGCGAGGCAGGCAGGYGGTGTTGGTGCAGGCAGAGGGAAAAGTTGCAGCGTTAGAAGCAGAAAGAGGATCCGTCTTTGAAATATTGATGAGATATTGGACTTTTTCTGCTGCAGGTGCAAAGTGAAATTTTTACAGGAGGAAAACATCTCCTGTGGCGCTGGCGGCTCCGTCAGCACTTCCTTCAGAGTCACTGACGCCACATCAGAGACTTCTTMACCTTCAGCGACACAGACCCGACTCTGACCCATTCGGATCAGTTTACACCGACACAACTCCTTCATTAACCGACTGAATATCTAATAATTGTAAAACCTCTGTTTTTATGTCTGTTTGGGACTGGATTCATGTTGCGTCGTCTGTGAAAACTTTCAGAGGGCTTCTCTGTTTTTTTTATTGTTTTAGCTTAGAGCTGTCATTTCCAAACTGTAGTGCCTGTTCTGTATCAGCAACTAATAAAACAAAACATCATCTGGAAATTAAGGCACATTTAAGAGTCATCAATGGAGTCAGGAAGGCAATATTTAAAATGATGGGATTTAGTTAACATGAGAAGATGTGCACAGGAAGTGGAAGGACTCTTTGTAATAAACATAATTCTCAATCATATGATCCAGTTGTTAAATGAAAGGGATCCCTGATTAGTTGTAACATTAGACTTTATATGATAAACATATACTTTAACTGTAAAATAAAGACTGTAAAAATACTGTAGGATG